ATTTTATTTCTGCATTTTTGCTTTTTAGACTATATGTTTGCAGCTTAAAAGCAAATAGGAAAATAAAGATTGTCGCAACATTCAACAATTTTTGGATGAGTTATTTAAAAAGAGGAAAAGTCCAAATTTGCTAAATTGTCCATGACCTTTTAGGTTGTTGGTCAAGACTGACAGAATGTTTCACTGTAGAGAAGCCTGATCATGGGGGATTGGTCCTGCTTTGAGCAGGGAGTTGGACTAGATCAGGGGTCTCAAACACGCGCCCGCCAAGCTCCCCACGCCCCCCCACCCCTCTGCCTACCCCGTGGCACCGTGAGCCCCGCACCGCTCCCTGAAGTGGCTGGAACTATGTCCCTGCAGCCCCGGGAGGGGTCCGGGGGGGGGGAAGGAAGGGGAATAGAGGGCTCCATGCTCTCACTTCCAGGCACTGCCCCCCGCAGCTCCCATTGGCCGGGAACGGGGAACAGCGGCCAATGGGAGCTTTGGGGGAGGTACCTGGAGTAGCAAGAGCAGCACATGGCGCCGTTCCCCCTCATCCCCCCAGGACTCTGGCTGCTTCCTGGAGTGGAGCGGGGCCAGGGGCCGGAGCGGGGCCAGGGCAGGCAGGCAGGGAGCCTGCTCTGGCCACGGTGCACGGTGCTGCCACCCCGGCGCCACTCTAGGTAAGCGGCGCCGGGCCGGAGCCTGCACCCCAACCCCAACCCCCTGTCCGGAGCCCCCTGCCACACCCTGCACCCCAATCCCCTGCTGCACCCCTCGCCCCTCCTGCACCCCAACTCCCTGCCCTGAGCCCCCTGCCGCACCCTGCACCCTGACCCCCGGCTGCACCCCTCACCCCTTCTGCACCCCACACCCCAATTCCCTGCCCTGAGCCCCCTGCTATACACTGCATACCTCCTGTACCTCAACTCCCTGCCCTGAGCCCCCATCACTCCCCCCCAGGGAGGGGGCAGAGTTGGGGTGAGGACTTCGGGGAAGGGGTTGGAATGGTGGCAGGGAAGGAGCGGGAAGAGGCGGGGCAGGGGCGGGGCCTCATGGAAGGGGTGTAGTGGGGGCGGGGCTGGGGGCAGCAAGGGGTGGGTGTCAGTGATGCGGCCCTCGTGGTCATTTGAGTTTGAGACCCCTGGACTAGATGACCTCCTGAGGTCCCTTCCAACCCTGATATTCTATGAGTCTATGAGTCATGTAAACACTTATGCAAATGAGTAATTTTGCTCAAATGAGTAAAGTTACTTATAAGCATAAGTGTTTATAGGATTGGACCTAAATATATGTATTTGACTAAAATGAGAATGCATATCTAAGTGACAGTGTCAAATAGTTTTTGCCCTAAAATTTATTTATAAATTTTGTTTTGCTAATTAAGGCCCTCAGCCTGCAACTGAGTCTGTATGTGTGGTCCACTGCTCCCTGTGTAGCTCTCTTAACTTTCATGGAGCTCTACACAGGCATCCACCTTTACCAATCTCATTGTGGGATCAAAATTATTGGCCTTGATCATTCAATGTGATCCATGAAGGTGGAACCTTACGCCCAAGCACAGTACAAATGAAGTCAGTTGGGCTCTGTATGGATGCAGGGGTTTATCTATGCACCTTTGATTGAGGAGTTATTTTTGCCTTACTGTTATAAAAGTAATTGAAACAAAATTTGGTGTGTTCAGATTTAAATATTTCCTTGCGGTGTTTGCAACCTAAGCAGGCAGCACTGTTAAGTACAGGAATTAGAAAGTGAAACTGATCTGAAAGTAACTACAAACTTTATCCGAAGAAGTGGGTATTCACCCACGAAAACTCATGCTCCTATACGTCTGTTAGTCTATAAGGTGCCACAGGACTCTTTGCTGCTTTTACAGAGCCAGACTAACACGGCTACCCCTTTGATACAAACTTTATGTTTCACTTAATCTACTGCACCCAAGCTAGGAAATGGAAAGAGTAAACACAATTTATATACAGCCTATTTATTATGGCTAAATTACATTTTTCAAAATTATTTCAGAGTTAGGGGTTAAAATCAGTATTTTAAAATAACAAATTTCCCTATTACAATACTAACACAACAGATTGACTGACTAAAATATTTTTTTAAACTACTACAATATTATATAGTCTGCTTGCTGGTTGTTGTTTTGTTTTTTCATTTCTCTCAGTTTTGAAAGTCAGGTAGAAAGTTTCACTTTTCTTTACACACTTTCTACTGCTATTTTGTCTCATGAACTAATACATGCTGCAATGTTGGGTTGCAAATGGTGCAGGGGAATGTCTATGTGTGTGTGTGTGTATATAGTTAAGTTTATAGTCCAGTGTGTGTTTTAAATTAAATAAAATTCTCTGTTTTAGATAAAAATCTATTTTAAAATCTAAAAGTTGGGTCCCAGGTGCCCAGACACTAAGAGCAAGGATTTTATTTTAAAAAATGAAATAACTACTCTTGTCACAAACACCAAAATCTCAATTAAGTGATCATAAAATTTTAATTTGACATTGCTCAAGCTAATTTGTGACCTGCAAAATGCAGTGCAAAGAGGGTAATAGTTATACGTCTTGTTTTTCCCCCAATGTCATATTGATTTCTGAAGTCAAATGTCACAAAGGAAAGCAGCTATAACAGAGGATTAGGTTGGGTTGTGTGCAACATGGTAATGCGAGATTATAATGTCCCTTCATAATAAATAATAATAATATATATTTACAACTGTCATTCTATTGTTTTGCAGTGGCTGCAAAGGGTTTGGTGGGACAAATTCTGAAGGTGGCATAATTCTGGGATGGTTAGGCACCACATTATTATTAAAGTGATGACAGTGAAATAATCTTGCAGGGAGGGATAGCTCAGTGGTTTGAGCATTGGCCTGCTAAACTCAGGGTTGTGAGTTCAATCCTTAAAGGGGCCACTTAGGGATCTGGAGCAAAATCAGTACTTAGTCCTGCTAGTGAAGGCAGGGGGCTGGACTCAATGACCTTTCAAGGTCCCTTCTAGTTCTAGGAGATAGGATATCTCCATTAATCTTAAACTACTAATCTCACAAACTTTAATTACCAGTAATGATGACACAGGATAGGAAACTATAGTTCAATGCACAAGAACTTGAAAGTTAACCAACCACAAAGTGTATTTTCAAACACAGAGCTGGACATTTTCAAAAGTGATTGTAGGTGCCCAACAGGTGGAGAGAACAGGCTTGATTTTTCACAAGGGCTGAACAGTAGGTGCCCCAGGAAAAACCAAACCCGTGAGTGATGTCTTAATAGGGTGACCAGATAGCAAATGTAAAAAATCAGGACAGGGTTGGGGGATAATAGGTCCCTATATAGTAAACCCCCCAAATATTGGGACTGTCCCTATGGGGACATCTGGTCACCCTATGCCTTAAGTTGGGCACCCAGATGTGAGGCACCAAAAATCATGAGTCATTTTGGAAGTGTCTACTTGTTTTCGTACATCAAGTCGCCTGCTCACCCCGGCTTTAAGGAGGGGAAAGCTGCTGTAGTGCAGTGTCAGATACCTACTGTGCACTGAGACCAGGAGGGCCAGCAGCAGCAGCGCCACACTCAGAGCCTCCATCGCAGAGCAGCTCCTGCTGCTGTAACTCTCCCCCAGGGACCCCACATGGGTCAGGGGCCGCAACCGACACCTGCCACCGCCCCCAGCTTCAGGGCAGGGACGGGCTCCCCCCGCACAGGCCCCTCTTCCACACACCCAGGGCAGGGACAGGCCCCACCTCTAGGGCAGCAGGCACTACCGGCCGCGGCCACCTCAAAGGTCCGAGCTCCGGCCAAGCTCATCCACTCCCGCCCCCGGCGCAGGCTGGGCCCTGATGCGGTTACTTAGCAACCGTTTCCTCACTAGCGGCCAATCCCCGCCTTCCGTCCCGTCTGACCTTCAACCCGGAAGTGAAATGTCAGTTCACGGGTTCTAACCGAAAGGGCTGAGGGCAGGCGGGCACCCGGGCGCGGCGGTGGTGCCAGGGACGCCCCTCGCCCGGCGAGGGGAGGAGCCGGGCAGCATGTGGGGGTGTTTGGGTGGAAGCCGCAATCAGTAACCCCGGTGTGTTTTGGGTGGGACCCCCTCCTCCCAGAGCCCAGCCTGCTCGCGCTCTGCACAGAGCCGCTTCCCATGGGGCTCGGGGGTGTGTGTGTGTGTGTGTCAATTGCTGTGGCCTCTTCCCGCCCTCCTCCTCGGGCCCTTGGCACGTGAGCGCGACTCAGTGAAAGAGGGGCAGGATCCTCCCGACTCACAGCCCCACCTGCGGGCGCAGCAACAGGCCAGGGAAGGACATTACACAGCATCTCCTGCCGCCTGGGAGCAACGTGTCGCACCTAAGCACAGACGGCAGCGGGGTGGGCTCGGGTGAGGGGGAAGAAAGGGCTGAGATATGCCGCCGAATTGGGGAGGGGGCAAGAGAGATTAGTCAGAAAACAGCGGTGCAAAGAAGCCTCTCCCCGGGGGCTAGGGAGGATGACTGTACTCGGGGGACACCCCCACATCGCAGTCAAGCGCCCCCGGACTATGGGCAGCAAGGGAGCCCCCCCTATAAAGAAGGGCGCTTGGGTAAAGGGAGGGCATCTCCCTTGGCCTTCCCTGGAAAGAAGAGGCACCTCCCCACTGCTCCCGCCTGGAGGGAGCCACCCAAGTGTTTCCCTCCACCCATGCACAGAGAGGGGACCCACCCTGACCCCCTCCGGATGGACGGGGACTCCTCAGAGCCGCCCAGCTCCCCCACGCCTTGCCCGCGAGGAGGGAATCACCCCGCGGCGAGGGAGCCCACCATGGCCTGAGCCGACTCGTGTGCCCGGCGCTGCCCCCCGGCCTGTCCCTTTAAGGCCCCTCCCCTCGGCCGCGGCGCTGGAGCCCGGGTGCTGTGAGCGGCTCGGCGGGGCGGGGGCTGATGAGCGGCGGCTGCCGGAGCCAACGGGCTGCGGGGAGGGAGGCGGGCGCTGCGGGGGTGTCGGGTTAGAGCGAGGCGTGACCCAGTTGACAGGCGCTGTGAGCCGCAGGGCAGGAGCGAGCCGTGCAGGGGGACGCAGGGGACGGCCGCCGGGTCAGCGATTCCCCCCATCTCCGGTGAGCCTGGGGAACGTGCAGCTCAAAGCCGCCGCCAGCCACAGCACCATGTACCCCGGCAACAAGCGGAAAAAGCTCTGGAAGGAGGAGAAAGGTACCAGCCCCCCGCAGCCCTGTCTCAGCCGGGCAGGGCACCCTATCTCCCCGCCGCGTGGGGAGCCACTTTCCCTGCCTGCCCGCCCGGGGGTTACTCCCTCCCCATCCGCCCTACCTCTTGTCCTGCCCCCCTTTCCTAGTGCCCCCCCGTCCTCCTGAGGGGCAGTGTAACCCTCCCCCCCCCAGCCCAGTGGGGCAGCTGGTAGGTCCCCTGGCCCCACTATCCTTCTTGCTGGGGGGCAGAGTCTCCTCCTCCCCCTTCGTCTCCTCCTTCCCCGTCCCCCTGCTGCTATCTCAGTGGGACTGGGTCTCAACCCGCCTTGCTGTACTCTGTGAATGGTTCTCCTGGGTTTTGAGCCACCCCCCACCTCCGTGGCTCTGAGGTGTGAGCTCCCCAGTTGCTCTTATGCCTTGAATTTCTTTATCCTCTTGCACCATGTGTGGGCGGTGGTGCTGGAGCTAGGGGTTCTGGAGATGCTTCCCCACCCCCTGGCTTGAAGTAGTACCATGGTTTCTATCAGCAGCACCCCCACTATAAACATTGTTCTAGCACCCCTGTTTATGGGTCATCCCTCACTTTTCTGTGTGCTGCACCTTTCGCTGGGGTATGTGTCTTTACTCCCAGTGTTTCTCTTCTCCAGCCATCCCTGTGTGTGTGTCAGTCTGGCCGTGAGCCTCCTTTCTTTTCTTTGGTATATTTCTGCTATCTTTCTCAAACAATCACCCTTTCCTTGTATGTGACTTCTCCTTTTCCTTGCGTTCTCTGTCCCTCTCTCTTCCTTTGTATGACTGCAGATTCTCCCCCTTCCTAGACCCTTATTCAAACCTGATCTTTCTCCCAAGAGGCTATTCCAATCAGCACAAACACATATTTGTATTGTGTGCGTTTAAAACAAAACTTGTTTTGTTGTTTTTTTTTACATAGGGATGACCTGTTGTGAGATAACTGCGTGCTACTCGGGGGGAGAAACATGAAGTAGAGTGTTTCTCCCTATCCTTACCCCTTCTCTCTTTTCCCTTTTAGTTTCTAGATCTAGGTAGGAAAACACATCTGCAATGCTACTTATCACAAAACAGACATAGAATAGAGAGAGAAGTCTGAAACAAGTTCAAGTGTCTAAAAGCACAATACATATTTTTTTAAAAGTAGCTGGGGGAGGTTGGAGAGAAAAGAGAGGGCTACACAGAAACGGAAAACTGAACACTTCAATGGCTCTAACTGAAGGAAACATTTTGAAACCAAATATAACTTTAAATCTCACAAACTTACTGTTATCAAATGCTAGTTTTGATTGAGAGGCCATTTAAAATGGAAGAAGAGAAAAAGGTGTTAAATTGGAAAAATACAGGTGAAATATTTCCTTTATAAACTACTCTGTAGAAAAAATAAACATTCCATACAATGTATGTAAAAAGACAGAACTAAAACTGATTCTACTGCTATAAAGTTAGTCATATGAAAGGTTGGTATGTTTCAGGTAGGTGAGAAATAAAGTTATATAAGGGACTAAATTAAGTGTTTAATCCAAACATAACTCCACTTTAACTTACGTGGCTTTTTATTGTTGTGTTTAACTATTGAACACGGATAGTAGCTTAAATAAAACTTATTGATCTTCTTGGCACGAACCTTGCAATGGCAGCTAAGTGAAATCTTCATGGTAGAAAACAGCTGAGCCCCCTCCTGTGAAAAATGTTTCCCTTTTTAGTAAGGGAACTGACTTTTAGAACTGTATCCTGCCTTGAAAACTCTGTCATCAATCTAATAGGAACGTTTTTTCTTCTTCTTAATTGGATAAAGAGCAACTTGTCCACAAACACAGAATTACCATCAAACTGATCTTGCAATTTTGTATTGACTGTTTTGAAGACAATCCAAACATACATGCAATAATAGAAACAGTACAAAATCCTGTTATCAGTATCAACTAATATAAATTAGTTCAGTTGTTTAGCCCTGGAAACACTCATGTTGACCTTCTATTTAGTGTTCACGTAAAATGAAAAACTACGCTCTTAAGCAGCAAACAAGTATGACAGACCATGTAAAATATTATTCTCTTTTTCATATTTTGTTGTTGCCGTTTCTTCTACTGTAGGATTCCTATAATTTATTATCAGTAAGGTAGCACATGGAAGCGAGGGCCTTGTGGTGCTAGATGCTGCATGACCATAACAGACAGCCGCTACCTGAGAGAGAAGACGAAGTCTAAACATAACTCCATGGGGGGAAAAAAGAGCAAAACAAATACATAATCAATCTGCCTGAGGCTAGCCCAACTTTTTATGTTTCACTTAAATGTACAAGAAGTTATTTGTGGCGTGGGCTCTACAGGCAAAAACTACTTACATGAGCTGAGATTTTAATCTTGCATGCCTGATGCTATTGTTCCTACTTGCAGTGGATAAAATGACAGTCAAATTGTGATGGGCACTCTTAATTTTGAGCTCCCTTCTGTTGCTGAATATTTATTCAGTATCTTTAATATATGATCAAGCAATACTAACTTCCTGCAGAAATGGTAAAGGGATGCACTTGGTTTACTTAGGGGCGTATGGGGAGGGGAGAGGTTTATAAAACTTAAAACTATGAATGCTTTCTCCCATCCAGCAGAGAGAAGAAATAGGGACTTCACATTTGCAGGCAATTACTGTACCAAAGTTGATAGAAGATCCCTAAGCATGAGCAGCATTCTAATAGGAATCTCAGCACCTTTCTACCTCTGACATTTGTCAGTGGAGCTTCTCATCAAGGGTGTATATCCTGGATTTGGTGGTGAGGGATGCTCCTACTTCATCATTTCTATTGAGGCTGTCCATTAATGTCTAGTAAATGTCCTTCAGCCTTGATTAATCTCTCTCGCTTTCTTTTTGTAGCTGTGTTGGTCGTGGGATATGAGAGAGACTGGGTGGGTGAGTTGATATTTTTATTGGACTAATTTCTGTTGTTGAAAGAGACAAGCTTTTGAGCTTACATACCTGAAGAAGAGCTCTGTGGAGCTCGAAAGCTTGTTTCCTTCACTAACAGAAATTGGTTCAATAAAAGATGTTACCTCATCCACCTTGTCTCTCATTTGATTACTAGATGTCAGTACTGCAATGTCTGTATTGTAGATGCCTAACTTCTGGATTTTTTTTTTTTTTTTTTTTTTTTTCTCCCGTGGTTGTCTTCCTACTAGGTGAATGCCTGCAGTGTCAGTCTGTGGCTGCTGAGCATTCACAAGCTGCAGCAGTGTGAAATTGACCTTTTTTCTTTCTGTTTCACTATTTACCTGGATCTTACAATTTCATGTTAACACAAGAGCCGACTCTCTGCAAACTAAGGAAAATAACACTTCATTGATTCACATTTGAAAGGTGATATTTACAGCTATGGATATTAGAGACTTTTTCTGAGAGCTTAATTTTAACAGAAACTGATAGTTTAGGACTACACTGCTCCACACAAGTAAGTTTCAAGCCCTGCTAGTAATAAAGACCTAGAAGAATTTTGTTTCTTAAAGGCAACAAAATGACTTGTACCCTTTTCACTAAAATACAGTAGAACTCTGTTTGCTTGTCTGTCCTGCAGCTCTGAAGTTTTGAGTGTGTCTATAGTACCAGTTGATCTCTGCAGTTTGAGGTTCATCTTTCTGTAGTACCTGTAGCACATGTGAAATGTCTGTTGTATTCTGTGCTCTCGAGGATTAAACAATTGAATTACATTGAAATTTTATTGAATAATAATCTAATGACTGATTTCTCTCTCAATTTTTTTTTCTAAAGGTCCAATTAAGGTACATAACCTGGAGGATTGGAAAAAATACATAATGTTTAAGATGGTTTAAAAAAGTATTGCAATGTAAAAATGTTTAGAATGAGAGGGAGTCTCCTTTTTATAGTGAGAAGTCAAACTTTGATTATTGGACTTCAGTTTTAGAAATTTCTAAGTATAATTTACATCTCCTGAAAGATACCAGTGTTTATCTGAGCAGCAGCCTCTCCATCCTGCTGAATCACTGTGTCTCAAACATGATCTGAAAATACAATTTTTAGACGGAGAGTAACTCCTTCCCCATGTCTGTCTAGTCCTGGGCCTCGACTAAGAGCAGCAGATATGATATTGGACTAAGATCTCAAGAAGGAAAAACATTTGGCTGCTTCAGATAATGTTAAACATACTTGTATGTGAAAATGAACTAAATGCTTTTAGATAAAATTTGTATTACGTAGTTCACTTGTTACTATACCCAAATTATGCTTATATGGAAAATGACTGCCAGAGGCTAGACTTGAATACAAGAGTACTGGTGTGCTCTGCAGTATTGCCCCACTTTCTTTTTATGGAAGGGAGAATTTATATAATGCTGTAAGAAGAAAAAGGGTTAAACAATCTTATTATAACATTTTATATAGATGAAATGGCTTCCCGCACAAAACTGGGATTTATTATGCTAATAGAATACACAGAGGTTGAAATTTATTCGTCTGCCTTTCCTCTCACCCATATGACTTTGGCATATGGGTTGTAATAGCAACTGCAGCCCTTCCATTTCATTTGGATGGAGTATACCCACTGAGGTTTGTAAAAACTCTGGAACCTGGGATGGCACTTCTGGCCTGCTCCCCCAGGTTGTCATGCGTGCCCTTTGGAATTCTCAGTTAATATGTCATGAATACCAGTATAGGAACCTAGGATGGATGTGGGCCTGATATTAATAGAGATCAACAGAACACTGGATCCTGAGAGGACCAAAGGTCTAATCCAGGGGTCGGCAACGTTTGGCACGCGGCTTGCCAGGGTAAGCACCCTGGCGAGCTGTGTGCCGAACGTTGCCGACCCCTGGTCTAATCTGTGTTTCTAATTCATCTTGTGGTGATAAGCGGGTATCTCAAGGGATAATATGTTAATACAACACTAAATGGATAACAAAGATTTTAACAGTGAAGTGTAGTCTGGGGTTTTGTGTCAAGTTACTGCTGACTTATTCCTGTTGTTACAATCACCGCTAAAAACGT